GAGTTTCTCTACCCAAAGCTCCCCTGGCCCCTCCCTCTCTGCTGGTGCAGCTATTTCAACACAGTTTCGTCAGTGGCTGCTTGGTAACACCCACTAGTTTGCAGGCCACAGAGAAGGAGGCAAGAGTTGTTCTAGAATTAAACAACTGCAATTCTCACAGAGTCAGGGTGGGAAGTCACCCCTGCACTGCCCTAGCTGATGCACTTCTGTAACCACTCAGGGGCTTGTCTACATACAAGGGGTGTAGCGCTTTAGCTGTATTGGTGTGGTTAAAGCAGGACAGCCCTCCCAGGGTGGGTGCTGTAGTACATGGGACAGTCCTGTACTGGAAGGGAAATAAGCTATAGTGGTATAAGGCACCTTGATACTGGTCAGACTGTGTCCACACTAGGGGTTGTACTGGTAGAATGATATCAGAGCCCTAACTGACCCAGTTCTACCGGCACAAAGTCTGTGCGAAGGCCAGACCTTACTTCTCTCACCAGTATTGCGTCCAGTTTTGGTCCCCCCACTACAGAAGGGATGTGGACAAATTGGAGAGAGTCCAGCGGAGGGCAACATTTAGGGGGCTGGGGCACATGACTTATGAGAGGCTGAGGGAACTGGTGTTATTTAGTCTGCAGAAAAGAAGAGTGAGGGGAGGGGGAATTTGATAGCAGCCTTCAGCTACCTGAAGGGGGGTTCCAAAGAGGATGGAGCTCAGCTGTTCTCAGTGGTGGCAGATGACAGAACAAGGAGCAATGGTCTCAAGTTGCAGTGTGGGAGGTCTTGGTTGGATATTAGGAAACACTATTTCACTAGGAGGGTGGTGAAGAACTGGAATGGGTTCCTTAGGGAGGTGGTGGAATCTCCAGCCTTAGAGGTTTTTAAGGCCCAGCTTGATAAAGCCCTGGCTTGTATGATTTAGTTGGTGTTGGTCCTGCTTTGAGCAGGGGATTGGACTAGATGACCTGCTGAGGTCTCTTCCAACCCTAATATTCTATGATTCTCAACTATTCGCATCCTCTCAGGGATCAAGGTGGGGTTTGGCTCCCAGGGGAAATCAGAATGGGCAGAGGTGGAGACCCCAGAGGGTGTTGGGCAGGGCCTCCTATACACTGACTGCTCCGGGTGGAAGCAGTGTGCGCAGCTCCCTGGTTAAGGTGGAGTAGAGCTTTGCATGTAAAGCAAAAACCAAGCCTGAATGAAGGCTAGCGTGTCCTCCACAGACCACCAGGACTTACAAAGGACAGAATGAACTTCTGGGAGGTAGGCGGGATGCATAAAACTCCCCAGGTGGCCAGAATTCTCTGACATTGTAGGAGGCCATATTTGAAAGCTGGTATGTTAGGGAGAAGGATTATTGCGTGCTGCTGTTTATTAGCAGGGGCTCATGAATACCCCAAAGAACTCCTCTTTCAAAATGCCGTCTGGCTCCCATTGCTCTCCTTGAAAGCAAGAATAAGGCTGAGTCCTTTTTCAAAATAGTCACCATTTCCCATTAGTTCCAGTGAGAATGAAGCCAAGTCATCCTGAGGGAAAGAGCAGGGGCCACCTTGGGTACAGCTTGACTTCCCTTCCACTGGACACAAGAGGGTGACCATTTTGTTCTTCGGGATGCCCATCAGCCCCTGCTGAAGGAGACACTTGCAGTGAGGACTGTTACCCCAACACTGCGCACCACATATACTGACCAGGGAGTGTGTCTGAGGTGCATGCACACAGGGGCATGTAAGTAACAGCCAGGCTGTGCAGGGGTACAGGGGATAATGGAGACCAGGAGCACGGGGAACTGGTCAGGTAGCTCTGGCTGCTCCAGAGTGGGGTGACCAAAGTGTACAGGTTAATATGGACATAAATAAAAAGTTAAAATAAAAAAACTGATTTGAAGTTGACCCTTCCTATCTTCAGATCATTAGAAATATCCCACGGGAACCTGCTCCTTGGGTTTCTTTTCTTGTTTACCATTCACATATGAAATTTTAATAACTTTAAAGTACAAGGAAATACAAAGACAAAAATCCACATTCTACTGAAGTTAAGGCTGGGCAAATAGCAATAACTTATGTAAAAACATTCCAGAATGTTGCACCTATCTCCAAATCAAGAATTACTAACCCAGGAAGTTGAGAGTCAAAGTTGCATGTAAAAGCAATCCAAACATGTTTAGAAATGGATCTTTTTCATTTTTAACCCCTCATGGCCTTCCTACAAGGCAGAAGTAAGGTTGCTTGGGCGCCTTAACTGTGCGTTTCCATTTCTTAGTGCAGTGGTCCCCAACCTTTTTCGTCTGGCGGGCACCAGACGACGAGCCACGGAGGACCGTGGCGGCGGACGACCGTCCGCTGAAATGCCGCCGACAAGCAGCAACGTCAATAGGCGTCGCTGCCGAAATGCCGCCGACAAGCAGCATCGTCCAGAGGTGTCGCCGCCGAAATGCCGCCGACGCCTCTGGATGACGCTGCTTGTCGGCGGCATTTCGGCGGCTGCTCGAGCGCCGGTCAGTACGCGGGCGCACTTAGACGCCCCGGCGGGCGCCATGGTACCCATGGGCACCGCATTGGGGACCCCTGTCTTAGTGCATTTGGGTTACTTTTACATGTAACCAGAAGTCTGAATGTTCCTGTTAGCAACACTTGGGTGGGGATAATCACTGCTGTGTACCAGGCACTATCCTCCTACAGGAAAGGCAGAGCCTCCTCTAACCAGAGCCAACCCCTCTAGGCAGCCACTAGGGTCCCTCCTCTGCAGATGGAACATACCCAGGAATCAGCGATGGGCAGCACAGAAATCCCTACCACAGGCAGAAGTGGTGGGAGAGGAGACACCAGGCTGAATCTCTCCCCTATGATCATTTATTAATGGCATGTAATAAACATTCCCCCCACACACCCAGTGACCAGTTGAGGTGCCGGCTTCCCCTCCCAAAGCAAGGGGTCTGTGAAGCCCTGGCAGCCAATGGCAGGCTGGGAAAAGAGGGCTGGGGAGCTCTCTGAGAGGAAGTGCTTTGAAGTGGCTCATGAAGGGCCAGCTGCTGGCACAGCATGAGAAGGAGCAGCCCACTCCGGAGGCAGCGTGTGGAGACTCCCTGATGTGCTGGCCCTTTCGGGCAGCCTTGGCACTCACAGAGAGATGGCGTGTGAGTAGCCAGACAGCAACAGGGAAAGCAAAGCAAAGAAACCAAACAACAGAACTCAGGGAAATCTCTGGAAGGAAAGAGAATTCTTGTCAAACCTCCAAGCTGTGCCGCACTGCGCCAGGCCCTGGACACCAAGAGGAACGCACAGAGAAGAGAACAGAAGGACACGGGACCCATGACAACCCCTCCCAGCACAAGGACTCAGTAGCCCAAAGGGCCAGCCACACGAAGGGCTCCAGAGCCTGGGCAGGCCACACAACTACTTGAGAGCCACTGGGCTGGACCCTACCATGTGTGCTTGTGTGTGGGCAGAGTGGCAGTCCATCCACATGGGGGCTTCTCTCTCCCCACATGTAGCCTTTCAGAAGAGCTTGGCTGCCCCTTTTGGGGAGAAGGGGAACCCTTGTGCTGGATATGCAAGTTCTGGGCCCTTGCCTCACCACCCCAGTGCACTGCACAGGCACGCATGCAATGGGACAGAGGAGGTACTCAAGACCACTGGGGCAGAGCTGGGTCTGTACTCCTGGTGTGCACAGGAAGCTGCTTTCTGGGGAAAACCCAAGTATGATTCTAGAGCACATTTTCCATCTCCTCCCACAATCCTGTCTGTCTCCAGCAGCTGCTCTCCTCCCCGCACACTGGGGTCTGTGACAGTGATGCAGAATCATGCTTTCTCAGGCAAACCCATTCCCAGAGAGGACTGTGATGTCAGAGATTTTGATATCAGGTGGGGACTGCATACACGACTCCAAAGAAAAGATCCTGCTTCATCCCTGCCTCAGGGCTGGAGACTCCAAGGTGGGACTGTGGAACATGGGCTAGAAGCAGAATGGTTTCTGAACTGGAGCTGTTTCACAGCTTTCCAAGAGGCAGCCATGTGTGCAGGGATCCTAGGGGCAGTAAAGAACTGCTTATGAAAGGGGCTACGGAGCAGGTTTCCATGTGTGGGCCAGCATGAAGGGAAAGGAGAGGCATGTGCGTGTGCATGAGCACGCAGAGGTGGCATGCCTGACTGAGGGAGCAACATGGGGGTGGAGGAACAATTCCACAACCAGCAGGATTTACATATTTGTATAGGGAGACATAGGAAGGTCAGACTAGATGATCATAATGGTCCCTTCTGACCTTAAAGTCTATAAGTCTATGAGGAAATTAATGCAGCTGGAGGGCAGAGCTTTCACACACATGGTCCCAGTTCCCACAGCAATCAGAACTCTACCAGGCCTGTTCACAATGGGGCTGTGCACACCCATTTACACAAACATGCCCACTCGTGGTGTAGATTTCAGTGGGATCTTTAACTAGGTGACCCCACCTCAGAGAGACCAAGTGAAAGGTGCTTTCTCCTGCCTTTGCTGCCATAAGATGAATGAAAGGGATGTTTTCCATTTAAATGTTAAAGAAGGTGAGAGCACTTCTTCCCTGACAGCAGCACTCCCAGGCCTTGGGAGCTGGGATCTGCTGGAGGATTTGGGTGAATGGGGTGTGCAGTCCGTATTTCCCTATCTCCCATACACCCTCAATGGGAGCTGGCTGCACTGGCTCCAGCATGCAAAAGCAGCTGTTCTGAAAGGCTTGGAAACGCACCTGGGTCCTGCCCTGATTCAAACCCAGAGCCTCCCACTGAGGAGCCCAGTCTGGCCCTGGAAAGGGAGCAGCATGTAGCAGGAGCATCCCAAAGGTTCCTCTGAGCAGAGGATGGATGGACGGACACACAGACAGTATTGCAGGCTGCATGGAGGGCCCACCGTCTCAGTCCCATGGCACGAGAGGAAGGCTGAAGAAATATGCCGCAGGCCTGGAGAGAATGGACAGGTGCCCCCTCACTCTCTCTCTCTCTCTCTCTCTCTCCTCTCTCTGTCAGGTCCGGCTTGCTACATACCTCCTTTCCTACATATTTTCTTGTTGGGCTTTCGGGCGCATTCCTTGGAAATCCGTTTTACTGTAAAATGAATAAAAGACTACAAAATAACAGGAGGCTCCACTGGCTGGAGTGGGCATGCAATTACAACCACACTGCCCACCCTCCCGCCACCCCCTCTTGGGACCGCGGGACGTGGGGAGGGGAGCATTGCTGTGGGAGGAAAACTCTGGGGCCAGGTGTACTGGGATGGAAGGAAGTTACGGTGCTGTCCCCTGCAGCCTGGAACCCCCAAGGGAAGAGAAGCAGAGCTGCTGGGGCTCCAGAACAGCTGTCTTCCCAGAAAACTGCTCAGGGAGGGCATGGCAGGTTCCCCCTCCAGTTCTCTTCCATCATAGGCTCTTGTGTTATCGAGAGATTCTTGCAGCTGGCACAGCCCATGGGCTCCCACAGCTCCCCCTTGTGGTGAGGCTGCCATGGGCCTGAGGAAAGGGTGCTGCCTCCTTGGCACTGCTACTTACAATTCAGATGGAATCCCCTATAAAAGAAAAAGATTAGAGAGAGAAGAGGCACCCTGAGGCACTCAGCCTCACCACAAGGGGCTGGGTCCACAGTGCTCCAGCTCCCACCCAACTCCACGCACTCAGCCCCTGGCTGGTCCCGGTGAAGCACATATGCTAGCTGCATTGTGCCGTGCATGCTGACATCTCCCCTGATCCCCAGCAGAGCATGGCACCAGGGAGAGGAGCCAGCCCAGCTCTCCTTGGTCCCTTCCCAGTCAAGAATGGCTGGTGACCCCATCCCAGCAAGAGAGAGAGTGTTCCTCCCAGCCAGCAGCAGCAACCCACACCCCAGAACTAGCGCAAGAACCTGAGGGTGGGGAGGGTGGGCGAGGGAAGACAAACCCAAACCAAACTCAAGACAGAACCTGGCACTCGGCACCTCGGGAACCCAAACCAGCTCGTCACTCTGTGGACCTGCGGTCAGAGAGTCCCTTTCAGTTTTGGCAACACAAAAGAGGAACCCGTGACAATGCCATGGAGGGGGAGGGAGAGAGCTGTGGGGGAGAGGGGAGAAGAGAGAGCCCAAGAGACAGAGAGAGAGAGGAAAAACAGCTGGAGGGCAGAGGGCAAGCTGAGTGGCCAGAAAAAGCTTTTCCACAGACAGACAGCATGCTGCGGGTTCCACAAGCACATGCTTCAAACACAACATCCAAGTGAGCCCAACCAGAGCTGAGAAGGAGCAGAATAACTCTGGGACCCCCCACCCACCCAGAGAGTGCAAATCTCCTGCTGGCACCCTGGACGGACTCACCATCCTCGGTGGGAATGTAAATGTTGAGGTACAGGCAGTCCTCATTGGGATCCTGAATGTATGTGGCAACTATATCCAGATTGGACGTGAACCAGATGGGCAGCATGATCTCCGGGACTGCACTGTGGATGTTCTGAGGGCAGACTGGTGAGAAGTGGGTAGCATTCCTTATTCCAGACCAGGAGGAGGGTGGCTCAGGGGGCATGAACCTCTTCTCCCCAACAGGAGGGGCTGCATAAGGCACCCCCAGGTATTGATCCACAGGACCCAGAATCTCGCTAGGCAGCGGAACCCGGACCCCTCGTAACTTCCCATAGTGCGTGTTGACAGTCGGGGAGTAGACCTGGCCATCCATCTGTACAATGGCCAAGCTTAGAACCCAGAGCACGAGGCAAAGGTCCCGGCCTGCAGCCAGCTCAGGCACTTGGAGAACAGGGGACAAGGACGGGTTTCTCTGAAGTATCAGCCACATTGTCTGTGATGAGCAGCACCACCATCCAAGCCTTAAGCACACTCCTGGGGACTCAGAGGAACCCGATCACGGCAGGCCTGCTGCTATCTGTTACGCAGAGCCAGACACCAAGGGAGGACAGAAACTGGAACACAAACCCAGAAATGAACTGCAAACGGTGAGCCAGAGGATGGGAGTGTTCCTCTTCAGAGCCCCCAGCCTGCCTGCTGCTGTTTGCCTTCAGAGAGGGCAGCCCTGATGGGATTGATGGCTCTGTGGAGAGAGAGGGAGAGGAATTAACAATCATGGAGAGAATGGCAGCTCCACCTGACAAAGAAAATCTGCAGCACAAAGGGACCTTGGAACCCACCAGCATGTCCCCGGCCCCCTGATTCCACAACCTGGCAGAGGTGGGGGAGAGATTTTAATACCTCACCAGAATGCTCCTCACCTCCAGCCTTAGAGAGAGAGAAGAGCCCCTGGATAATCCACTGCTGCTGCCTCCCAGTTACCAGTCAGCCCTATAGTTTGGTCATGGTAAGTGGTGCCAGCTGCAGAGGAGGACAGGAGATTCCTGGAGATCTGGGGGAAAAGGGGATCAGAGGCCTTGTAGAGGTGGGGTGTTCAGACTCCAGAGCAGGAGAGGTGTGTGTGTCAACTGCAGAAACATGGGTCAAGCACCCGGGCTTGAGACACCCAGAGCAGACAGGTGATGCTAAGGAAAAGGGGATTCAACCACAAACTGGGGAAGCAGTTTGCCCACCAGCTACTGGCCTTAGGGCTGGGGCAAGGTTCACAGAGAGACAGCCCATGTTAAAGGTATCCAAGGGCTGCAGGGGAAGCGAGAAGGCCTGTGTGTAGGGGAAGGACACCACCAGAGAGGAAAGACGAACCACCTCCTCTCCTCGGAGTCCAGGTCTGAGGAGCACACTAGCAAGAACATGACTGGAGCAAGAGGCTGACAGACTTCAGGAACAGTCAACAGGCCGAGAGAGCACCTTGTGCTTCGATCTTGGGATGGGAAATCAGGACTGTTTGGTTCCATCCTCAACTCTGTTCCCCGTTCCCTGCACAACCTGGAGAAAGTGACTTGCTTTCCCTTCCCGGAGAGAATACAGAGCCAGGTGCCCCTGAGAGCAAGTTGAACCCTGAGATGAAGTGCATGACCATTGACCAAACTAAGCCAAAGCCCCATGGTGCTTTGCAGCCAGGCCAAAGGCGAAATGGAAAAACTGTTTGAAAAGTTTGTTACATACATTGCTGAATGCTGCGGGGCAATTACCAGATAAGGATTGGAACTTTATAAAAGTTTGTGAAGCTGACTCGTCAACAGATATATTGGGAAACCAGCTTTCACAGACAGAATTAACCAGGAATGTAAATTGCTTTATTGCTAACTACCAGAAAACAGATGTTGTCAGCTCTCACAAGCAAAATGGTATTGATCAAAGCATGGGGAAAAAATGGTTACTCACCTTCTGGTAACTGTTGTTCTTCAAGATGTATTGTTCATGTCCATTCCAATCAGGTGTGTGTGCGTGCACAGAAGACGGAACATTTTTCCCCAGCAGTATCTGTTGGGTTGGCCCGGGCGCCCCCTAGAGTGGCACCATCATGGCGCACAATATAGGGCCCTACTGACCTGCCACTCCCTCAGTTCCTTCTTGCCGGCTACTCTGACAGCGGGGTGGGAGGGTGGGTATTGGAATGGACATGGACAAAACATCTCGAAGAACAACAGTTACCAGAAGGTGAGTAGCCGTTTTTTCTTCTTCAAGTGCTTGTTTATGTCAATTCCAATCAGGTGACTCCCAAGCCTAAATTCAGGAGGCGGGGTTGGAGTTCAGGTATCCACTGACTGGAGCACCGCTCTACCAAACATTGCATCGTCTCTGGCCTGCTAGGTAATTGCATAATGCGCGGTGAAAGTATGTATTGAGGAACACGTCGCCGCTCTGCATATTTCCCGGGTCAGGACTTGCGCCAGGAATGCTGCTGAAGAAACTTGCGCCCTAGTGGAGTGCGCTGAGAGTGGAGGGGCAGGCACCTCTGCCAGGTTATAGCATTCATGGATGCAGGACATGATCCACGAGGAAATTCGTTGGGAGGAGACTGGAAGACCCTTCATCCTGTCTGCCACGGCCACAAACAGTTCAATGGACTTCCTAAACCATTTCATTCTTTCAATGTAGAAGGCTAGCGCTCTGTGGACATCCAATGAGTGGAGCCTCTGCTCCCTGCCGCTCGAGTGCGGCTTAGAATAAAACACTGGGAGGAAGATGTCCTGGTTGATGTGAAACTGGGAGACAACCTTCAGGAGGAAAGGATATGGCCTGAGCTGAACCTTGTCCTTATAGAACACGGTGTAAAGGGGCTCTGACGTTAGGGCCTTGAGCTCAGACACCCTCCTGGCTGAGGTTATCGCTACCAGAAATGCCGCCTTGTATGACAGGTAGAGCAGGGAACGTCACCAGCGGTTCAAAGGGCAGACCCATCAATTTGGAAAGGACCAGATTGAGGTCCCAGGTTGGGGCCGATTATCAGACGTGTGGATATAGCCTGTCAAGACCTTTCAAGAAACAGCTGACCACAAGGTTGGCAAACACCGACAGGCCCTCTGAGCCTGAATGGAAGGCAGAGATGGCAGCCAAGTGAACCCTAATTGACGATATGGACAGTCCCCGCTGCTTGAGATGGAGAAGGTAGTCCAGTATGAGTGGTATAGAGGCGAGCATCGGGGATGAGTGATGCTGCGCCGACCAGAATGATAATCTCTTTCACTTGGCAAGATAGGTAGCCCTGCTGGAGGGTTTCCTACTGCCAAGGAGGACTTATCTAACCGGGTCTGAGCAGGAGAGCTCTGTGGGGTTCAGCCATGGAGCTTCCATGCCGTGAGGTGCAGCGACTCGAGGTTCGAGTGTTGGAGACGGCTGGGATCCTGAGTTAGTAAATCCGGGAGGAGCAGCAAGGTAACTGGGGCTTCCACAGACATCTCCAGGAGGGATGTGTACCAGTGTTGGTGGGGCCAGGCTGGAGCTATCAACGTCACTGAAGCCTCTTCCCTTCATATCTTGAGGAGCACCTTGTGAACAAGAGGGATGGGCGGGAACGTGTAGAGAAGAGGGCCTCCCCCTGGGAGGAGGAACATGTCTGCGATGGAGCCCAGACTGTGGTTCAGGAAGGAGCAAAACTGTTAGCACTTCCTGTTGCGTCGCGAACAGGTCCATCTGGGGAAACCCCCACCGTTGGAAGATGGTGTTCGCGACGTCCAGGCGTAGGGAACACTTCTGGCCATTAAAGGACCTGCTGAGACGGTCTACAAACTCGTTCTGCACTCCAGGGAGGTACAACACTTGCAGGTGTATCAAATGAGCTACACAGAAGTCCCACAGTGTGAGGGCTTCCTGGCACAGGAGAGAGGAGCGTACACTACCGTTTGTGGATATAGAACATTGCCGTGGTGTTGTCTGTCATGACTGATACACATCTCCCTGTCAAGTGGGCTCGGAAAGTCTGGCATGCCAGGCGCACTGCTCTCAGCTCTCTGAGACTGATGTGGAGAGCGAGTTCCACCTGAGACCAGAAGCCTTGTGTCCTGAGGTCCCCCAGATGTGCTTCCCAGCCCAGAGCTGACACATCCATCACTAGTGAGAGGGATGGCTGAAGACGGGTGAAGGGGATCCCTACACACACTACCTGCGGGTTGAGCCACAACTGGAGGGAGTCGAGGACCAGGCGAGGCAGAGTCACGACCTTGTCCAAACTGTCTCGAGCCGGCTGACACACCGAGGCTAGCTACGATTGGAGAGGCCGATGTCTGAGCCTGGCGTGTTGCACCACACAAGTACAAGAGGCCATGTGTCCTAGAAGCTTCAGGCAATTCCTTGGTGGTGGGAAACTGCCTAAGACTTTGAATGATGTTGCTCCGGGCTAGAAACCTCGCTTCCCGGAGGTATGCTCTGACCTGTGTCGAGTCCAGGACCGCCCCTATGAACTCTATCTGTTGAACAGGGGACAGAGTTGATTTCCCCCCGTTCAGGAGAAGGCCCAGTTCGTCGAACGTCGTTCTTAAGAAGTCGACTTGTGCCTCCACTTTAGCCCTGGAGCGGCCCTTGATCAACCAGTCGTCGAGGTACCTGTACCTGGCGCCTGTGTAGGAATGCGGCCATGACTGCCATGCACTTGGTAAATACACGAGGCACCACTTACAGGCCGAACTGGAGGACTGTGAACTGGTAGTGGTCGTTGCTCACCACAAGCCTGAGGTACCTTCTGTGGGAGGGTGTAATTCCTATATGAAAGTACGCGTCCTTCAAGTCAAGGGCGGCATACCAGTCCCCTGAATCCAAGGAAGGGATGATGGAGGCCAAAGAGACCATGCGGAACTTCAGTTTCCTCATGAACTTGTTGAGCTCTCGCAAGTCTAGGATGGGCCTGAGGCCACCTTTGGCTTTTGGTATTAGGAAATACTGGGAATAGAAGCCCTTGCCCTTCAGCTCCTGAGGAACCTCTTCCACTGCCCGCAGTGCGAGGAGCAAGTGCACCTCCTGTATGAGTTGCTTGTGAGAAGGGTCTCTGAAGAGGGTCGGGGAAGGGGGATGGACGGGCAGAGAATTGGAGGAAGTATCCCTTCTCTACCATGCAGAGAACCCAGTGGTCCGATGTGATACGGGCCCACGCAGGGTAGAAAGGGGATAGTTGGGACGAGACGATAAAGCGGGTTGGATCCAGTCCAAGTTCTGGTGCACCATCCTCGTTCGCCCCTTCAAAAGTCCTGCTTCTAGCTGGATAAAGGTTTGGATGGGCCAGAGCTCTGGCCTGAGGACAGGTGCAGCCTCTTCCTACCGCTCCTGTTTCTCTTCAGTGAGCCATCCTGCCGGTTCTGCAGTTGGTAGAACCGCGGAGGAGGTTGTGGCCTAAAATGCCTCCGCTGCATGGCGGGGGTGTGGAGGCCCAGCAATTTGAGGGTGGCTCTTGAGTCTTTTAGGCCATGTAGCCTTTTATCCATCTGATCAGAAAACAGAGACTCCTCAAAGGGGAGATCCAGAATAGTCTGCTGGACCTCGTATGGCAGACCTGATACCTGGAGCCAGGAGCCCCTTCCCAAGGCAACCCCGGTAGACACCACCTGAGTGGCCGCATCAGCCCCGTCCAGAGCAGCCTGCAACGAAGCTCAGGAAATGAGCTTGCCCTCCTCCACGAGGGCTGAGAATTCAGCATGGGAGTCCTGCAGCAGCAGCTCTGCAAACTTTGCCATTGCCCTGCATGTATTG